CTATTGAGAGGATCATATGATTCTTGATCTTTCTTTTGTTAATGTATTATATCATGTTGTTTGATTTGCGGATGTTGAGCCAAACTTGCAGCCCAGGGATAAGTCCCACTTGGTCGTGGTAAATAATCCTTTTAATGTACTGTTGGATCCTATTGGCTAGTATTTTGGTGAGAATTTTTGCATCCATGTTCATCAAGGATAGTGGTCTGTAAATCTCCCTTTTGATGGGGTCTTTCTCAGTTTAGGGATCAAGGTTATGCTGGCCTCATAAAACGAGTTTGGAAGTTTTCCTTCCATTTCTATTTTTTGGAACAGTTTCAGAAGAATAGGTATTAATTCTTCTTTACATGTTTGTTAGAATTCTCCTGGGAAGCCATCTGGCCCTGGGCTTTTGTTTGTTGGGAGATTTTTGATGACTGCTTCAATTTCCTTAGTGGTTATAGGTCTGTTCAGGTTTTCTATTTCTTCCTGGTTCAGTTTTGGTAGTTGATACATCTCTAGGAATGCATCCATTTCTTCCAGATTATCTAATTTGCTGGCATAGAGTTGCTCATAATATGTTCTTATAATTGTTTGTATTTCTTTGGTGTTGGTTGTGATCTCTCCTCTTTCATTCATGATTTTGTTGATTTGGGTCATTTCTCTTTTCTTTTTGATCAGTCTGGACAGGGGTTTATCAATCTTGTTAATTCTTTCAAAGAACCAGCTCCTAGTTTCGTTGATATGTTCTACTGTTCTTTTGGTTTCTATTTCATTGATTTCTTTCTGATCTTTATTTCTCTTCTGCTGGATTTAGGATTTATTTGCTGTTTTTTTCTCTAGCTCCTTTAGGTGTAGGATTAGGTTGTGTATTTGAGACCTTTCTTGTTTCTTGAGAAAGGCTTGTATAGCTATATACTTTCCTTTCAGGACTGCCTTTGCTGCATCCCAAAGATTTAGAACAGTTGTTTTTTCATTTTTATTGGTTTCCACGAATTTTTTAAATTCTTCTTTAATTTCCTGGTTGACCCATTCATTCTTTAGTAGGATGCTCTTTAGCCTCCATGTATTTGAGTTCTTTCTGACTTTCCTTTGTGGTTGAGTTCTAGTTTCAAATCACTGTGGTCTGAAAATATGCAGGGAATTATCCCAATCTTTTGGTACTGGTTGAGACCTGATTTGTGACCCATGATGTGATCTATTCTGAGGAATTCCATGGGCACTAGAGAAGAATGTGTATTTTGTTGCTTTGGGATGGAATATTCTGAATATGTCTGTGAAATCCATTTGGTCCTGTGTGTCATTTAAAGTCTTTATTTCCTTTTTGATCTTTTGCTTAGATGATATATCCATTTCAGTGAGGGGGTTGTTAAATTCCCCCACTATTATTGTATTTTTCTCAATGTATTTCTTTGCTTTTGTTATTTTTTAATTTTTTAAAGATTTTTATTTATTTATTTGAGAGAGAGAGAGCACAAGAGAGGGTAGGGTCAGAGGGAGAAGCAGATTCCCTGCCGAGCAGGGAGCCCGATGCAGGACTTGATCCCAGGACTCTGGGTCATGATCTGAGCGGAAGGCAGTTGCTTAACCAACTGAGCCACCCAGGCGCCCACTTTGCTTCTGTTATTAATTTCTTTATATAATTGGCTGCTCCCTTGTTAGGGGCATACATATTTACAATTGTTAGATCTTATTGTTGGATAGACCCTTTAAGTAGGATATAGTGTCCTTCCTCATCTCTTATTGCAGTCTTTGGTTTAAAATCTAATTTGTCTGATACAAGGATTGCCACCCCAGCTTTCTTTTGGTGTCCATTAGCATGGTAAATGGTTTTCCACCCTCTCACTCTCAATCTGGGGGTGTTTTTGGGTCTAAAATGAGTCTCTTGCAGACAGCATATCGATGGGTCTTGTTTTTTAATCCAATCTGATAGCGTGTCTCTTTTGATTGGGGCATTTAGCCCATTTACATTCAGGGTAAATATTGAAAGATATGAATTGAGTGCCATTATATTGTCTGTAAGGTGACTGTTACTGTATATTGTCTGTGTTCCTTTCTGGTCTATGCTGCTTTTAGGCTCTCTCTTTGTTTAGAGGACCCCTTTCAAGATTTCTTGTAGGGCTGGTTTCATGTTTGCAGATTCCTTCATTTTTTGTTTGTCCTGGAAGCTTTTTATCTCTCCTTCTGTTTTCAATGACAACCTAGCTGGATATAGTCTTCTTGGCTGTATATTTTTCTCGTTTAGTGCTCTGAAGATATCCTGGCAGTCCTTTCTGGCCTGCCAGGTTTCTGTGGATAGGTCTGTTGCCAACCTAATGTTTCTACCATTGTAGGTTACATATCTCTTCTCCAGGCTGCTTTCAGGAAATTCTCTTTGTCTCTGAGACTCATAAGTTTTACTATTAGATGTCTGGGTGTTGACCTATTTTTATTGATTTTGAGAGGGGTTCTCTGTGCCTCCTGGATTTTGATGCCTGTTTCCTTCCCCACATTAGGGAAGTTCTCTGCTATAATTTGCTCCAATATACCTTCTGCCCCTCTCTCTCTTTCTTCTTCTTCTGGGATCCTAATTATTCTAATGTTGTTTCATCTTATGGTATCACTTATCTCTCAAGTTTGGCCCTCATGATCCAATAATTTTTTATCTCTCTTTTTCTCAGCTTCTTTATTTTCCATCATTTGGTCTTCTATATCGCTAATTCTCTCTTCTGCCTCATTTATCCTAGCAATTAGAGCCCCCATTTTTTATTGCATCTCATTAATAGCCTTTTTGATTTCGACTTGGTTAGATTTTAGTTCTTTTATTTCTCCTGAAAGGGTTTCTCTAATAACTTCCATGCTTTTTTCAAGCCTAGGTGGTATCTTTAAAATCATCATTCTGAACTCTAGTTCTGACATTGTACTAATGTCCGTATTTAGTAGGTCCCTGGCAGTCGGTACTGCCTCTTGTTTTTTTGTTAAGTTGATTTTTTTCCATCTTGTCATTTTGTCCAGAGAATAGATGAATGAGAGAACAAAATGCTAACACGTAACAACATCCCCAGAAAATATACTCTAAACAAATCAGAAGAGACCTGAAACCAGGGGAAAAGAAAGTGAAAGAAAGAAAAAAGAAAAAGAAAAAGATGAAAATATTCAAAAACAGAACAAAACAAAACAAAACAGAATATGATCAAATATGATCAAGTTGGTGCATAGATCAGTGCCATACACTAGATTTTGGGTGTGCTTTGGGCTGTTAGTAGGAAGTGGCTCCCAAAATTTTAAAGAAAGAAAAACTTATATATGTACAAAAATAGGGGTTAATACGATTAAGGGATGGAATATGACTGTAAAGATGAAAATTATAAAAGATTTTATAAAGGAATTGATAAGATAAGAAGTTGTTTGAAAAAAGAAAGAAGAGGTTCTAAAAAGAAAAAAGAAAAAAAAGGGAGAGAATGGGATCAGGCAGGAGACTAGAACAAAGTCATACACTAGAGATTTAGGGTATATTTTGATCTGTTAGAAGAAACTGTATCTCAAAATTTTAAAGAGAGAACAACTTATATATATATGCCAAAAATAAGGGTAACTACTATGAGGGGATAGAATATGACTCTAAAAATGAAACATAAAAACGTTTTTTTAAAAAGGAATTGATAAGATGTTGGTTGAAAAAGGGAAAAAGAAAAATTAAAAAAAAAAGACAGTTAAAAAAATTAACTTTCAAAGACTAAAGAATCTTGGTAAAAAAGCCATGGATTCTATGTGCAGTATACTTCTAGCTCTGGAGTTCTGCTGTTCTCATTGATTGGTAAACTTGGTCTTGGCTGGTTCTTCTTGCTGATCTTCTGGGGGAGGGGTCTGTTGCCGTGGTTCCCAAATGTCTTTGCCTGAAGCGGAATTGCCCCGCCCTTGCCTGGTCCGGGCTAAGTAATCTGTTTGGGTTTGCTCTTGGGAGCTTTTGTTCCTTGCAAGCTTTCAGTACAGCTTTGGAGGATAAGAGTGAAAATGGCAGCTTCCCAATCTCTGCCCCAGAGAAGCTGAGAACCCGGGGCCCTGCTCCTCAGTGAGCTCCCAGAGAAAAGCAGTCAATCACTCCCATCTCCCCAGTCTCTGGCTGCACTCCGTGCTCACCTGGCCTCTGACCGAGCATTTCTATCTCTGACACCTGACTCGGTGTGGTGTCTCCAAACTCAGCAGATCCCTGCAGTGTGCTCCCACGCCACTCCTCCTGGGGCAGGAAGGAGAGTCTCCCCGGATCTGCCGCTTGTTGGGTCCCTGCTGGAGAAGCAGTGGCCCGACTGTGCCGTGGATCAGTTTATGGTAATCCCGAGTTGAGAGCCTGCTCCTTGGCTCCATCTCAGCAGCCAGCTTCCCCGCTCTGATACCTGGGAGTTCTGCCACACTCAGGCACCCTCGGTCTTTCTGTGACCCCAAGGGTCCTGAGGCCACAGTGTCCCACGAGGGTTCCACCCCCGCTTAGCCCCTGGAGTGACGTCCCTCAGCAGAGCCGACTAAAAGTGATCTTTCAATTTTGTGCTCCGTGGCTCTATCACTTGCCATAAGCAGCCGACGCAGACCCCCTCCCCCGAGATCTATCCTCCCAAATATCACCTCGGATTCACTTCTCTGCATGCCCTACCTTCCAAAAAGTGGTTGCTTTTCTCTTCAGAGAGTTGTTGCTATTCTTTTCTTCGATCTCCTGTTGAGTTCGTGGGTGTTCACAATGGTTTGATCCCTATCCAGCTGAATTCCCGAGACCAGACAAAATCTAGGTCTCCTACTCCTCCACCATCTTGCTCTGCCCCCCAATTTTCAGCCATTTTTTTGAAATTTTTTTTCAACTGTGGGCTTCCTCAGTGCTTAGTCCAGGATATACAGGAAACAACACATACATATATGCACGCACGTGCACACACACACACACACACACTCAATGTCATGTTGTTCCTTGAGTCTTGAGATCCTCAGCCAGTCTTTTTTTTATTTTCTCTACATCTTAGAGTCCTCTTACATTTGTTTTATGTTTTATCTAGGTATTTTAGCCATGATTATCAAGAATAATAGGATGGAGTAGATTTATTCCATCTTATCTGCAATCGGAAGTTTTCAGGACAATCTTACAAGTAGGTTTACCTGTTGTTATTTGGGTGGGAGATGGATGGGGATGCTTACTGCTAATTTGTAACAATTTTAATTTTATCTTGCACCTATGATTCTATCATTTCCTTAATTTATTCAATAAACAAATGCATTTTGAATATCTAATGTGTGTAAGGAACTTTTCTATTTCTCTTGATGTACACTTGATCAAGAAAAATTCAATATATGTCTCAGAATATAATATCCAGTTTATGATCCAGTTTATAATGGAAGCATGAGATCTTATCAAGGCACAGAGAGGTACCTAAGTCAGACTTGTAGAGAAATCTGGGAAGGCTTTCCAGAAGATAATTCTAAATTAGGAGCTGAAGGAAAATTAGTCACATGAAAAGTGGGAAAAGAATATTCCAAGAGCATAAAATATTTATTCAAGTTCATCAATATATCAGAATGCAGCACACATTCATGAAAATGTGAGTACTTCAGCATGGCTGGAGCAGAGAATTGTGGGGAAGTGTAGAGCTATAGAAATGAGGTTGGAAAGATAAGCCTGCAGGACTTAATACACCATAGTAAGGAAGTTTTGTTTTGTTTTGTTTTTGTTTTTGTTTTTAGATACAGGTGAATCTTTGGAAGAATTAGGCAACAGAATAGTGACATAAAATTTGGAATTCAGAAAGATCACTTTAATGAAAAATAGGTTTGGGCTCTTGGGTGGCTCAGATGGTTAAGTGTCTGCCTTCGGCACAGGTCATGATCACAGGGTCCTGGGATCGAGTCCGGCATCGGGCTCCCTGCTCAGCAGGGAGCCTGCTTCTTCCTCGGCCTCTCTCTCTCTCTGTTTTTTATGAATAAATAAATAAAATCTTCAAAAAAATGAAAAATATGTTTATTGGAACGGGCAAAATTGGAAGTAGAGGGAACTGATAAAGGCTGGTAAGAATAAGTAATAAAGAGATGATGGTTTGAAAGACTATGGACTCTGAGAAACAAACTGAGGGTTCTAGAGGGGAGGGGGTGGGGGATGGGTTACCCTGGTGATGGGTGTTAAGGAAGGCACGTACTGCATGGAGCACTGGGTGTTATACGCAAACAATGAATCATGGAACACTACATCAAAAACTAATGCTGTAATGTATGGTGATTAACATAACATAATAATAATAAAAAAAGAGATGATGGTTGTCTAAATTAGAATAAAGGTGGTGCAGAGAGAAGTAGCTAAATTTAGAAATTAGGAAGATAGAATTTATGGGATATGTGTGGGTATTAATAGGTGTAACTGTTAAAGGTATCACCTAGATTTTGTGAATGGGCAGATGGCAGAGTGATCATATGCCATTATCCAAACTAAGACACTTTAAAGAGTGAAAGGTAGTATCATTATTGATTACACTGCAATAACAAATGTAAACTAGTTCTGTTCCAGGCAAATCAGAATATATGGTCAGCCTAGTGTATGGTGATTCTAGTAAAATAGCATGGTTTTTGGAGGAATACTACACTCTATTTAAAATATTTTAATTTATTTTGATGAGAAAATTAAAAAAACATTTTAATTTAAAATTCTCATGAGACATACACTTATTAATAAATGAGTATTATTTCTTGGGTGGAGAGGATGGGGTGGATATAGTATGAGATTACAATTTACATGAGTGCAGAGACCATGTCTGCCTACATACCATCTTATCATCAGTACCTAAAACAATGCCTAATACACTGAAGGGATGCAAAATGTACATTAATTAATTAATATCCATTATATTTAGAGGGAAAGCTGTGTTCTAAGGCCTAGGAAAGTATTGTTTTGCATTTGACGGTACATAAAATGAGATAACTGGGGGAAGGGACACAGGTCTTGTGTATACTCCAAATAATGGCTGTTATAGGCAGAGGATAATAGAAAAGGCTGTTAGTGAGGTCAAAAATTCCTATCAATGCTAATCTCTGCTTCTCAGTGAGCCACAGCTAATCTGCTCCATGCTTTCCACCTACCATTCGTGCCCTTGGTTTTGGGGAGGTTTACATAGCACTTTCTTCTCTCAGCACGGAGGCAGACTGGTGAAGTAGAAAGATTATTTGAGTGAGAGGTTTATTTTTAGCCACATTTCAAAATCTAATTAACAGTGAATTTCTTCATCCCTAGGCAAGTTAATTTACCACTTTGTACCTTACCAAATGAGGTCAAAATGAAGATTCAAATGATTTTTTTTTAAATTTCTTGCAGGTAGCATCCTCCAGTTCTGGGGCAAATGAGTTGGGACATACATACGCAGGCAACTTACCATAGTTCTTGCTGCTAACCTTTCTGAAGAAGTTGTGATCTGCAACCATGTCTGCTTGGCTCAGTCTTCAGTGAGAAATGTGAGACTCAGACACAGCCAAAGGAGCACAATAGTGGTGAGACTATTCTGTTCCTAAGCCTTTTGCTATCTGAAACCAGTAGCATTGCCAAGAGGGGTAGGAAACATTCATGGTCCTGCATTTGGAGAAAAGAGAATCTTTCTAAGTGGAATAACAACCACCTAAAAGCCATTTGAAAAGCTATTATTGTATATATATACAACATCAAAAGGAATGAAATCTTGCCATTTGCAATCACATGGATGGAACTGGAGGGTATTGTGCTGAGCAAAATAAGTCAATCAGAGAAATACATGTATCATATGACCTCACTGATATGAGGAATTCTTAATCTCAGGAAACAAACTGAGGGTTGCTGGAGTGGTGGGGGGTGGGAGGGATGGGGTGGCTGGGTGATAGACATTGGGGAGGGTATGTGCTATGGTGAGCACTGTGAATTGTGTAAGACTGTTGAATCACAGACCTGTACCTCTGGAACAAATAATACATTATATGTTTAAAAAAAAAAGAAGAAGAAGATAGCAGGAAGGGAAGAATGAAGGGGGGAAATAGGAGGGGGAGATGAACCATGAGAGACTGTGGACTCTGAGAAACAAACTGAGGGTTCTAGAAGGGAGGGGGTGGGGGGATGGTTTAGCTTGGTGATGGGTATTAAAGAGGCACGTACTGCATGGAACACTGGGTGTTATACGCAAACAATGAATCATGGAACACTACATTAAAAACTCATGATGTAATGTATGGTGATTAACATAACATAATAAAAAGAAAAGAAAAGCTATTATTTTAGGAAGGCCTGAAAGCTTTAAATAAAATGAATGGAGTTATTAAGAAAGGCTGAAAGTTTCAAAATAGAATGAATGGAGTTATCTACTTTAAAGCAATTTTAAGGGCCAGAGTCCCTGGAGAATATAAAATAACTATATGACTGTGAAGGGAAACTGGGAAAATCCTGAAAAGGCCAGTGATCAAGCCATGGATGCTTGCAGTGGGATTGACACAGTAAGATTCTCTGCCCACTACTGGTGTAGTCTGTCTTTTAGTGCAGATAAGGGATTTGTCAAGGTACTAGTATTCGTGATCCACACTCTAGACATAATAGCAAATAATGTACTAGTTGGAGATAATAATGTATAAGTAAGAGTTTGATAATTTGTTAGTGGTCAAATGGGAATAAGACAGTATCTCCCTTCCTTATAGCATTGTCATGAGGAATATATGATATAATATATCTAAAGTGGATGGCACGTAGTCAATGATCAGTAAATTTAATTGTTAGTAAACACTGATGTTATTGGAGTATAAGTTGTTAGATACATCAGCTATTCCAAGAAAGTTGAAGTCAACAAGGACTGGAGAAGTCAGAGGTACAAGGAACTTAAGCTGGGGTTGGAAATGTATTTATATTTCACCTTCTTTCATGACTTAGGAGAAATATACAAAATAAATTAGAATAATAGCACTTCTTGCAGTATTACTATGTAGTAGATACATGCATTGCATATATTATCTTGACTCTGAATGTACACAACATTGTTATACATTATAGAGTGGAGGAAGCTGTGGACCAGATAAATTAGGAAATGCAACTGATTTCTGAGCATTGATTTTGTATCCTGTCTCATTGTTGAATTCCTGTATGAGTTCTAATAACTTGGTGGTGGAGGCTTTTGGATTTCCCACATAAAGTATCATGTCATCTGTGAAGAGAGAGAGTTTGACTTCTTCTCTGCCAATTTGAATGCATTTTATTTCTTTTTGTTGTCTCTTGCCAAGGAATTTTGGTACTATGTTGAGCAATAAATGGTGAGAGTGGGCATCTTTGTGTTCCTGACCTTAGGGGAAAAGCTCTCAGTTTTTCCCCATTGAGAATGATATTCACTGAGGGCTTTTCATAGACGGGTTTTATGATATTGAGGTATGTTCCCCTCTATTCCTGTACTTTGGAGTTTTAATCAGGAAAGGATGCTGTACTTTGCCAAATGCTTTCTCTGTATCAATTGAGAGGATCATACAGTTTTTGTCTTTTCTTTTATTAATGTACTCTATCAGGATGATTGATTTGCAAATGCTAAACCACCCTTGTATCCCAGGAATAAATCCCATCTGGTTGTTATGGATAATCCTTTAATGTGCTATTGGCTATGATCTTGTTGAGTATTTTAGCTCCCATGTTGGGGGCAGAGATATTTACAATTGTTAGGTCTTATTGAATAGACCCTTTAAGTATGATATCGTGTCCTTCTACATCTCTTACTACAGTCTTTGGTTTAAAATCTGATTTGTCTGATATGAGAATTGTTACCCCAGCTTTCTTTTGAGGTCTGTTGGCATGGTAAATGGTCCTCTATCCCCTTACCTTCAACCTGGAGGTGTCTTGAGTCTCTTGTAGATAGCATATGGATGGGTTCTGCTTTTTTTATCTAATCTGAAACCCTGTGTCTCTTGATTGGTGCATTCAGCCTGTTTATGTTGAGAGTAACTATTGAAAGATATGAATTTAGTGCCATTGTATTGGTTGTAAGATCTCTGTTTCTGTAGGTTTTCTGTTTCTTTATGGTCTATGTGTCTCTTGGGATTTCTCTTCATTTACAGAATCCCCCTTAATATTTCTTGCAGGGCTGGGTTGGTGGTCACATATTCTTTGTTTCTGTCTGTCATGAAAACATTTTATCTCTCCATCTGTTCTGAATGACAATCTTGCTAGGTAAAGTATTCTTGGCTGCATGTTCTTTTCATTTAGTACCCTGAACATGTCCTGCCAGCCCTTTATGGCTTGCCAGGTCCCTGTGGACAGGCCTGATGTTATTCTGATGTTCCCCCCTCTGTGAGTAAGAAATCTCTTCCCCCTAGATGCTCTCAGGATGGCTTCCTTGGCTCTCAGACTTGCAAATTTCACTATTTTATGCCAGGGTGTTGATCTATTTTTATTGATTTTGGAAGGGGTCCTCTCTGCTTCTTGGACTCAAATGCTTGTTTCCTTCTCCAGATTAGGGAAGTTCTCAGCTATGATTTGTTCAAATATACCTTCTAGTCCTCTCTCTCTCTCTCTCCACCCCCTCGGGGATCCCAATAATTCCGACATTGGAGCATTTCCTAGGGTCATTGATCTCTCTAAGTTTATTTTCATGTGCCATTAGCTGCTTATCTCTGTCTTCCTCAGCTTCCTTCCTTTCTATCAGTTTATCTTCCAGATCACTAATTTGTTATTCTGCCTCATTTACCCTGGCTGTTAGAGTTTCCAGTTTAGACTTCATCTTATTCATAGCATTTTTAAGTTTGGCCTCATTAGATCTCATTTCTGCCCTTAGAGATTCTATATTGTCACTAATGCTTTTTTCAAGCCTAGCTATTGACTTCATGATTGCTATCCTGAAGTCTGTCTCTGATATCTTGTTTATATCTATATCCATTAGTTCTGTGGCAGAAACATTATCTCTGGTTCTTTTCTTTGTTGAGAGTTTCTCCTCCTAGTCATTCTGTCATTGGCTGTTGGAATGAATGGACAGAGTTCAAAATATCAACCACGACCCAAATTAGATGCACCCTAGCAATATCCGGCATGGTCAGATGCCACCACTGAAAAAAACAAAGCCAAAATGAACAAGAATAAAAGTAAAAAAATGAAAAATTAAAAAATTAAAAATATGTACTATATATACATGTAATAGAAAATAAAAAAATTAAAAAGGGGGAATGGGAAGAGGGGTTATAATCTCTCAGTATGAACAAAGCAGAGTGTTTCATTAGTTCTTGGGTGTATTTTGGTCTGTGTTTTAGAGGACACTACGTCTCAAAATTACTAGGAAAGTAAAATTTGTATATATAAAAAGGTAAAACTGAGTAGAGTGAAAAACGGGCTAAAATAAAGCATTTTTATAAAAAATATAGGTATGTAAAAATACAAGTTAAAAAGCACCTATGAAAACATGAGTTGGTATAATAGACATCTAGTTGAAATGAGAAGGTATAAAGAATACGGCAGTGGAAAACGGCATGAGAAAAGGAAAAAAAAAAGAAGAAAGAAAGAAAAGGAAAGGAAAGGAAAATTATATCTGAAAAATAAACAAGTTGTAAGGCCACATCTAGAGCTCAATATACAATTTTCTCCTTGTGTTGGGATATTACAGTCTTACAGGAACCAAAGGATTGTCATCTACCTATTTTCCAGCCTGTCTTCGGGGAGGGGCCTGCCACTCTGTTTCTCAGGTACCTGCTAGTGTGGAGTTACCCCACCCCCTGTCTGGGGGATGGGCTCAGTGGAAACTGGACTTCAGAGTGTCTTTTGTATCCTGGGGCTTTTCCACTCCTCTTCAGGGGATCAGAGCAAAAATGGCCACCGCCAAACCTCTGGCCCAGAGCAGAAAATTCGGAGTCTGCCCTCTTTAATAAACTCTGCAGGACAAACAGTCTCAACTTCTGTTTGTGCTGCTGAAAACCGCAGCTTTCTGCAGTGTGTGCTCACAGCTACTCTCCCAGAAGTATTTTCAGGGGCTCGGGAGTATCTCTGCCCTTTCTGCTTTTAAAACTGTGAGCGACTGTGGGCTCCGGCTTGCACTAGAAGCTCCAAAATCAGGTCCGGTTCTACCCTAAAGCCTTTTCCCGGCTACTACTGTTCTGCAACTTTTTGCCCTGTTGCAGGCTCTGGTTCCAGATTTTTTTAGTCTGTTCAAGGAAAGAGTGGATATCGACCTGCCTGGTTTGTGGTTTCTGGCGATCCTAGTTGAGAGTCCCTTCGTGGGCTCGCTGACCATAATCTGCTTCCTGGTTCCACTGCTTGGGCACCCTACCAGTTCATAAACCCACTTTTGCTCTGTGGTTCCTTGTATCCCAAGACCACAATGCCCTACCTAGAATTCTGTCTTTTCATTTCCAGGGCCCCCTTCAGGGAGGGGTGTCTCTTACTTGAGCAGATTTCTAAGGGTTTTGATTTTGCTCTCCCATGTTATTACTTTCCAGGAGTCAGCTTATGGCAGCTCCCTCCCCCTTCTGTTTATCTTCCAATATCTCCCTCAGATTCATGACTCTGCCCTTCC